AAAAACAGGTTTGTGTATCAAAGAGATGTGGTATATATACACATCAACTAATATAAATGCATGCCATTTATGACAACATGAACCTGGAAGGGATTATGCTATGTGAAATAAGCCAGAAAAGAAAAATAAGTACCAGATATGTCACTTATATGTGGAATATTAAAAAAACAAACAAAAGTTTGGACAAAGGCAAACTTCAAAACCAGCCTTTGAAAACTGACTATAGAACTGGTTAGTTTGTGAACGATTTGGAGGGGAGTGGCATCCTGGAGGGGAGGGCAAAAGAGAGGTGAGGAGTGGGAACAGGGTGAGGGGAGCACAATGGACCATGGAGGACTATTGGTGATTTGGTGGTGGTGGTGGGAGAGTGATCACAGCTGAGGGGAGAAATCATGTACTGTCAAAATATTAAAAAGGATGTAAAAAAACAATGGTACTTCATTAAAATAAATAACTAAATAACTAAAAATAAATAACTAAAAATAACATAATAAAAAATTAAAAATCATTAATTTCATTGAAAGGGAATAGGCACTCTTGTGTTCACTGCAGCACTATTTACAATAGCCGAGTTGTGAAAACAATCTTAATGCCCATTGACAGAGCAGTAGATTAAGAAGATGTGTTATTCACACAGAGTGGAATATGACACAACTACAAAATAGATGAAGTCTTGCCATTTGGGATAACGTGAATGTAGCTGGAGGAGATTATCCTAAGTGAAATAAGTCATAAAGAGGAATACAAATACCAAAGATTTCTCTTATATGTGGAACATATAGAAAAAAGCAAACAGTAATAACAAAAACACACCAAGGAACTGACAAAGCTAAACCAAAATAAATCCTAGAAGCATGACTTCGGGATCAAGGCTAATAGAGTGGTGCAAGGTGGTGATGAGAGCCAAGAAGGGAAGGAGCACAAGATTTATCATAAAGGATTATGAGTGCTTAAATGGTGGGTTATGGTAATAGACATATGAAGAGGTGTGAAACACTTACCCTAAATCATATACAGTGTTGCAAACCAGTGAAACCTCAAAAATGGAAAAAAGAAAAACAATAAATGTAATCTATCATCATTTGATGATTAAAAATCATACAAATGGAAAGATAAGAAAAGGAAAGAAAAGAAACAGACCTAGTGATCTAGAAGAAGGATTATGAAGTGGTTCACAAAACGTGAACACACTCATGGTAAAATAAGTGGGAGGCCATTTTCCAGAGCTGGCAAGGGACACAGCATTCACAAGGAGTTATGAAAGTTTTTGAAGTGCTGCAAGATGTAATTTGATGGTAGATAAAATGAATATAGTGTTTCTCAGAATGTAGAAGAACATAGGTGTGCATAGCTTGGTTTACAACACTTGAGTGCACATTAGAACATGAAGGAAATGTGAAAAAATACATATCTTTGTAAGGACTCAAACTGTTTACTTCCTACTCTGAATACTACAAACTTGCCTATAAGTATATTGTTCTTTCTTCCTCCTCCTTTTGTACTGAATGGATTTTTAGCATGAAAGTCATTATAGTGAAGGTCAATATTTCTGAGGCCCTCTCCTTGTCTACACTGTATTTATTGATCAATACATATTTAAGAAAAATATACATGATAAACAGGATAGTTTTGGAAAGGAAGTGTGTGGGAAGGAAAGGACTACTGTAATAAAATTAAATTTAAGTTGAAATATAAAAGATTAACAAGCGCTGGCAAATGTATTCCAGAGGAAGGGGGCAAAACATGAAAAGCACCAGAGTGTGCACTTTTCTCTGGTTTGCGATGTAGGATGGATCCTTATATCAGGAATGCAGTGGACCAGAGGCCCAGGGCCAAGTCATCATGGCATACCAGAAGTGGAATTTGTGACTGATGTGTTTGGAATTGAACAGAGACACATTTGATTTGAGGTATAAAGATAAGTTTGTTGAAAGAAGAATGGATTGTGGAATAAATAGGGTAAAATGTGGAAGTAAAAAGTGTGGTTAGGGGATTCTGCAGAGGTCCACTTGAGAGTTGATAAGCTAGCTGGCATTCAGGTGGCATTCAGGTTCAAGTTTGAAGGAATTAATTGCAATAATCACCATCATGAAGTTTTGGTTTTATTCACTGAGTAGAAAATACTGCAACTTGGTATGAGAACTAGGAATTTTGTTCAGGTTTTTGTTTTTTAATATGTTAACATCTCCAAAAGTCTCATATCAACCCATTTCTTTATATCTACATTTTTAATCACTGCATGCTAAATCTTGCATATACTGTGTGGGTAAATCTTAGTCATTCTTAAAGGTTTTGATTAAGCATCATGACACTGGAATGTCTTCCTTGAATTTTCGCTTGCTCCTCTCTCTCCTTCCAACCTACCCTCTATCCCATCGGGGGAAAAAAGTTTTAGGAGCTTCCACAATGTCACTTATTTCACTGTATAGAGTTGTAACTGTCACTAGTCCTTGGTGAAGGGAAGTAAACCTTACAAAACTTGTATTCACACTTGTGGATTCTAAGAGCATTTCATGTATGTTCTTTGATTGTCTTTGAAATAGAAAAGTAACTTCCAGACAGCCTTACAATTTTAATAAATTTTGCAAGGAAATACCCAAATACATTTTGCCTGCTTTTTTTTTTCAATTATTCTAAAGGGAATTGTAGAAAAAATTATTTTATATAATTATTTTCAAGTTGTAGACTAAGATTCAAAGTTCATTTTAGCTACTTCTCAGATATAGCCACTATATGGTATCTGTTCATTACTAATTTTTTTCAAGTTTAAGTTACAATTAATGAAAGTGGTAAGTCTATAAATTTGGGGAGTGATGGTTATTATGTCTAAATGTGCCATTTCATTCAGTATATGCATAGAAATTGTGAACTTAAAGAGATGGACGAGACATGTCTCCCGATATCTCAATTTTGAGACTCACATCTACATCCCAACTGTATTCCTCTGCCATATGGCTTCTGTTTGTATACCATGGGGGAAGAGAATAATTGTATTTCACCACTATTCCTATTCTGGCTTGGAAACGTGCCTTATCTATTTATCCTTTTCATTACGCCTTCTGTTGTCATTTTTTTCTTCCTACATAGCCCCAAATCGAATTCTCAATAATCTCTAGACATATTGCAACATTTTTTATGTCTTATTCTTATGCATTAGTATTGCCTCTTACTTTTGCTAGTCTATGTGTACTTCACCATTCCTTTCCATTTCCTTCACATTCTTTAGATTTTTGTTTTCATTTTTTTCACTAAAACATTTCTGCTTGAAACATCTGAGGGTAAACTTGGTATCTGTGTGGAAACAGTGATTCTTCTTTGGTAGTAGGCATGACCTTAGGGGAAAAAAATGAGTCTGAGGGGACGCCGCAGTGGTGCAAGGGATTAAGTCTCAGCACTGTGACGCTATCAGCAGCCACTGTGGCATGAGTTCGATCCCCTGCCAGAGAGCCGACCCACATGGCACAGCAGATATCACCTGTCTCCACACTTTTCCCCTCAACAGTGTATTTCAGTAGATCCGCCTGATCTGCTCTCCACTCTGTCTCTGTGAATCCTCTCAGCCTCCACATCTCTCACCTACACCCCAGTTCTTCCATGCAAAAATAAAAAAAAAATAATATGAATCACCCTTTAAAAATACTAAAATGCAATAGATACATCTGTAAACTTCACACAAAAATATAGAATTTATTTCTATTTCATTAATGTACATATTTTTAAATTGGAAGTAATTGTTAATATAGCATACTGAAATTAATAAGAATTTCAAAATTGTCACAAAACCAATGGCTATCATTTATGTCTTCAATTATATATCAAATACTGAATTAAGACTCCAGTTAAGCATGACAGTAAGATTATAAGGGGTAAAGAAATCGCAATCTTTAATTCATTCATTAAATTATGAAAAACTGATTCAAAGATGAGCATTTATCTTTAATTAGTGTTTTGCATTTATAAATTTTTACTATATCATCTCCAGGGTGAAGCAGTTCTAATATCATATCTCCATGTCATAACAATTGACAATGAATTTAAGCTTATGTAAGATAGAGCTATAAAATAGAAATAAGATAGAGACAAAAATAATGCAATGATCTTAATGCCAAGTACATATTTGTTTTTACAGAAAACTAAGTCTTTGATTATAAACAGTGTTATTCTATTATAAGCATTAGTTATTTTTAAGTGTCTATTAACTGATGTTTAATTTTGTGGTTATTATGCTATTAATTAAAACTTAAATTATTAAAAATCTTTATCAATATTTCTTGTTATATCCTCTAAAATGATCGTTCACTTTAATATATTGCTGACATTCATTGTCGCTGGAAAAAAAAGGACTCAATCTATTTCTTTTATTTTCAGATAGTGCCCAGACAAGAAAGGGAACATAAGAATACTTTCTTGACTAGAGGTGGAATGTAGGTTATGATTATCTATGTGTTTAATGGGACTATGTGAACCTTTCCTAGTGTGATGTGCCATCATAGTTGTTATGTATTCAACTTTTGACCCTAGTAACATTAGGGCTTTTTATAATGAAAAGAATAAATCATCATTCTTATACAAATTTCCATGATGGTTCTCTGATTTGTATGTTCTAGGGGAATATCTGAATTTTATCCTACTATGTTCTCTATATCCATCAAACTCAGCTCATGTTTTGTGTATTCCAAGAATTCAACATACTGTCAATCAGCACATCACGTAATGTTAAAAATAAAGAAAAACTTATATAATGAATACAATAAGCATAAAATTATTAGTGTTCCTGTGTCATAAAAGTGAGAGGAATAGGGTAAAGCCATCTTGGAAAAGACAAAAGAGGAGAATGGGATAACCTTAGTAGTTAATGATATTGTTGAATTTCAGGCTTTATCTCAATGTTATGGTAGAGGAATTGGAAATTTGGGACAGAGTGAAATGTGTTTCCTAAAGTCATGGTAATAAAAATGAACAAGATTTCCTGTTCAGGTATTTACCAAATTGATAATGATCTACTCCCTCTTTTTCTTCTTTCCTGTTTTGCCAAATTTCTGATAAGTAAATAAGCAACATTTTGTGACCAAGAATATAGCAGTTGCCACACAGGCCAGCAGGAAACCAATCACATCCAAAGAGTGGTACTGGACCCAGTTGAGGTTATGGGAGGCTGGCCGCAGGTGCTTGGCTCCCTTATTACGCATGACAAACTCAATCCAGAAGACAGCTCGATCCAGAGGCTTCATTGGCTGATCGTGCTGTATTCTTGATAACCTCATTGCATTCTCTTTATAACTGGTAGGAAAAAACCATAGAAATTAGAGTTTTTTGTTTTTAGTAAAGGTAAACATATGATGCATATTTTCTATTTTACAAGTCAAAGCCCCTAGATGTGCTAAGGAAAATTTTAATTCTTGCTGTGACAAGAGCTGTGCTGGTTCCATAGCATTATAAGAATTGCAAAAGGGGGCCTTTCCGGTGGTGCAGCGGTTGAGAGTTAGGTTGCAAAGCTGCCCACAGCCTCTGCAGCACCAGTTCGATCCCCGACCTCTGCAGCGCCAGTTCGATCCCCGGCCACCTGGCAAGGGTCCCACATGGCACGCAGACCTCTCCTGCCCCCCGCTGCTCCCCTCAGCAGTGTACTTTGGTCCTGCCTTCTCTGCTCCCTGCTCTGGCTCTGGTGAATTCTCCAACCCTTCTGCGCTTCTGACTGTACCCAGTGCTTGTATATATATTTTAACAGTATGTGTTTCAGTGCAAATATATAAATAAGTGGAATAAATAATTTGCAAGTGTACAGTCTAATTTTTCCACGAAGGAATTTTGATATATTATGAAGAGTAGTTTCCAAGATTGTTCTAAGACAAAGACTGTGGATAACCCAATGTTGTATGAAAATACCCTTTAAAAAATTCCATAAGCATGGCCCTTAATGCCTGGCTAATTTTGATGACAGACGAAGGAAATGTGTACTCAAAATTAATGAGACATTTTTGCAATGTCTAAAATCTTGACACTGGGAAAATTCCTGCATTGTACACTGTAATTTTGTGTTTGTAATGCAAAGGACATTGTCTATATTGGCAATGTCAGGACTGTATAAACATACTAGGGTAATTTTAGAAATGGCAAGGGCATGGAATTTGACAAACACAGATTGTTCTTAAAGTAAACAGAAAGGAATTAGAGGCCGTAATCAATGTGGCATCAACATTAACAATAGTTTTAGAATAAATGGCTTTAATGATTTCTCAAATAACAATAAGTATAGGTGTATATTTGATGGTAAATTTTCTTTTGACATTTTTCAGCAGGTGAGCCAAAATCAGTATGTTTACTTTTTGTATTGTATTAGAAATAAAAGCTCCAACTTGAAACATAAATATAACAGAAAATGGCTTGTGAAAAGATATTCTATTGCAAGTAAGACATTGTTGGGAATGGGGAAGAAGAACTGCAGTCATCATTTTATAGTAAAGATGGTACTACATTCAATAGCAGAGATAATTTAGTGTGTGTGCTTGTGTGTATGTGGTGTGTACAGTGAAAAAGAATACTTATATCCTCTTCAATTGAGTTAAAATACAGGTAGAATCAAAGAGCAATTTTACATGGTTCATCCAAACACATTTTAGGCCAACTACAGTGTAAATAAAAGTCTATCACTCTAAATTATATTTTGATTCAAGTTTTTCTCCATTTATAAGATTTAAAATTGGAAATACATGTATACTTGATAGATAAACTTATACAGGTTAATCTAAATAAAAATGAAGTATGTTTTTCTATACATGAGTTAGAATAAGAAAGGGCTATGATCATTTTAAATCACTATTTTAGTATTTGCTGTATGTTAATGTTTTGTGGAATATATTATGAATAATTAAAGCCATTATGGTTTATGTAATTAAATATAATATTTTGTGTGCCTTAATTACTTTAAGAAATAAGAACAGGAAACACAAATACACATATATATGCAATGTACATGGTTCTCTTTTGGTCCCAGATAATTTCAGAGTTATTATTAAATTTAGGGTTAGCGATAAGCTTTTTTGAAATAAATACTTTCAGATATTTTCTTGCAAAGGTCTAAAAGTATTTATGATTCTATTTGCATCAATAATTTTTGAAACAGTTCTACAATTTAATGAGCATTCTGCAAAATGGAATAGTGCTTTTAAAAAATCACAGAACTTATCTATTCTAATATTTAGTAAAATAAACCAAATTATCAGCAAGTAGCAGCCTGATAACAGTTGAGACTGAGGCATCAAGGTTATCATATATGATAAGCAAAAGATTATAGTAAAGTTGGCTGTATCAGTTATCCAGCTCTTGAACTGAAAATATCTATAATAATTTGAAAGATCTGACTTAAACATGCATATTATTAAAGTCTTTTGATTGAAATGTGGATGGGAAGATAAAATGAGCAATCAGGGTTTTCTTTCTTTTTTTGTTTAAAGATTTATTTATTTATTTATACAAGCACTGGATACAGTCAAAAGCGCGGGAGGGTGAGAGGATTCACCAGAGCCAGAGCAGGGGACAGAACAGGCAGACGGACGAAATACACTGCTGAGGGGAGCAGTGGGCTTCGCAGGAGGTCTGTCGCACCATGTGGGACCCTCGCCGCTGGACAAGGACCGAACTGGCACTGCAGAGGCTGCGGGCAGCTTTGCAGGCCAGCGCTCAACCCACTGTGCCACCAGGGGAGGCCCTATCAGGGTTTTCTTTTAAGATGAATTTAAGGGAACTATTCAGCGCCTTCCCATTGGATCTGAATACAGTGCCCACCTTTGCCTAGAAAATCCTGTCACAATCGTTTGATGTATATGATTTTACAGACTAGTTTCAATTTAAAAAGCTGCACAAAATTCCATCTGAGTTTACTTTCTCCCATACAGTCTAAATTTTAGACTTTAGTAATATGGATGGAATGTTTTTATTATCCTTCAAGTTTACCTATGAATATTAATAACTAAATATGATATAACTGGGAAACAGTTTTAAATATAAGGAAGCTATACAAATTCAGGGAAAATATTGAGAGGCAAGATGAAAATCATGCTTAATAACAATTTTGGAATTGCTATTATTGGAATATTGACATAAACATGAAAATTACAGAATTAGAACATAATCAAGTAAAATATAATTAAAAAGGAGAATATTTGAACTGTAATAAAAAAGTAAGGGTTATGAATAAGAGTTTAAAAATCAGATTATAGAACAGTAAGAGGTAATAAAGGATACAGGTAAGCTGTTAAAGTAAATAATTAAAAATAACACTGTAAAGAATTAATAGATTAATTAAACACGCAGGAAATGCAGTAGATTAAGCCTTGTCAGGAAAATATCTCCTTAAAGTACAACCAGAAACCCATTGTTCACACGTAAGGTGATTATTGACATCTTGGGTTTAATTACTGCCATTCAATCTCTTTTTTTCTGCTTGGTTTATCTTTCTTTTGATTTTTTTTCCAAGTTTCTTTTGCCTTTTATTGTGCATGATTTTTCCCTGGTGTTTTTTCAGTTTAATCACTTCTAAGTGTTTCTACTCCAGATTTTTGTTTTGTGATTACCATGATGGTTGTATAAAATTTCTATATCTACAGTAGTACTTTTATGCTAGTTTTCTAGTATGATGGGCAACATAACCAACGGTAAGCTTTTAAAAGCAGCAGTACTTACGAAGGTACATTGATAACTGTACTCAAGGCATTGAGCAAATCTGCACTTGTCATTGTGTTTATGTTCACCTCCACTGCAGCTCCTTTGGCTTTCATATGAGCAATATTATCGGGCTGATCAGCAAACATGGGAACTCCCACCATAGGAACTCCATGATAAATAGCTTCATAGATGCCATTAGTGCCACCATGAGTGATGAAAGCTTTTGCTTTGGGATGACCTAGTTTGGGAAATGGGTGAGAGATGGGTGAGAATTTCATTATAGTGCATTAATAGAATTTCAGGGAAAAATAGGTTAATTCAATGAAGATAGTGGCATTTTCTACAAAAACTGAGCACATGGGGTACTGTTATTTCAGAAAAAAACTGTGATCTCAAGAAAAAGAGTAATTAACTTCCTCTGTATTGTCTGAAAGACTTTAATGAGGTGATATGTGAATTGAGATTGAAACCTGAGGGTCCTATGCAAAGGTGCTCTCTTGTGAATGCCAGTTCATTAACTCTGATTTAAAACTTTAAAGCTGGAAGTAAAAAGTGAAAATTTCAAGTTATTAAATAGTTACCAAATATGTTTGCTGTTAAAATAGTTACTTAACTTTTCCATCATCCAATTGTACAGCTTTTTTGCCCTATCTTACCAAGAAGATCATTCTGGGGTATCCAATCATAGAGCCGAGTATTGGCTCCTAATGTGGCAGGTTTCTTTCCTTTGTATCTCCATAAAATCTGTGGAAGACAATACTTTAATTTTGCAAGTAAAACACAAAATTAAGGCATTTCAAGACTGTAGAGTTATTTGTGAATCACGTACCCCACACTACTATATATGATAGTTGAGAAAAATATTTGCAAACACTGAAAGATATAATAGGAATATTCACATCTACATTTTTCAAGAGTTTGTAGTAATAGTCAATGAAGATAGTATTACGATTTTGGCATTTATCATTTAAATGCATTTGGGAGTTGATTGGAAGTGAAGAAATGGAAAATAAAGAGTACTCATTTGTCAATCAGTGTATGGGAGTACAAAAGCTTTAAAATAAACATGAATATTATTTAAATGTATTTATATAACTAGACTATTATAGCTTTCATGTTCTAAATATTTCTTTCAAAAATATAATTAAATTTGCTTTAAGGGAGGATGAGATAGGGAGTTTGCTTATATCTCACTATTTAATGACGGAAATCATTAGGATGTTAAGCTTATGTTACATTTTTTTTTTCTTTTGGGGAATGCTGTATGAAAAATTCCACAATAAATACTATCAGATTGTGAACTTTTTAACAAAAAGTTTATATATGAAAATCCAAAGTTTTACCAGGTCTAACTAGCACACTTTACCTTTGTAGAGTTTCGTGTACCTTAACTAATATGCAAATATAAAGAATCCTAGGCTATCTCATAACTAGAAGTATATAAAATATAGAAATCATGAACTGTAATGATAATAAAATTAAAGTTAATGATTACCATAAATTAGAAAATACATAGTTTGGCAAAAAAATAATAGGGTTTTTATTTTTAAATGTAGAAAATGCACTTCAGAAAGATTTTGCTTCTACTTTTAAACCAAATGCACTTTAATAGAGGCTTAATAAAAATAGAAACATAATGCATCTTCTTGAGCATGGTTCCTCTCTAATCTTTCTCTCATTTTCTGGACTTTGGAGCTAATGTACTTGAGAACTTTTGGGAGTGAGTGATCAGTATGGGTCACAATACAGCAACTAGTAAAATGTTATTAGGATCTTGATATTTTTATCTCTATTTCATTGAAAATAAATGATTTAATAAAAATAGGGATTTCCACATTCATGCAAAGGTCCAATTGGCTAACAATCAAATGTGCCCCAATATACTATTTTAATGTTTTGAGAAATTTTTACTTAGAGGTGGTGCCTATTATGCTCAGTATATAATGAATTTCAAATGTGATATGGAAAGAGTACTATTGCCTATACTTTCCCTTTAACTAACAAAGTAACTTCTCATCAGAGGTTGTACTGACCTTCTGTGGAATCTGGGCAAGGGCAGAAGCAATAAGATTGGCTTTTTCTTCTGTGAGGTTTTTGACCATTGATCCCAGAGAAAACACCACAATGCCATCTTCACCTGAACTTTGTGCAAATTCTTCCATTTCCTATAGAGATAAAAATTTTTATTATAAAAATGCAGGATCACAGAGAAAAAAAGTGTCCATTGAAAGAAAGTGTCAGAAACATCGCTACACTGGGTCTGTCCTTTTCCAACACAGAACAATCTAGTTTATATAGAGAAAATGTATTTCTGAAAATGATAGCTTAACTCTATAATGAGAGTACAAATAAAAGCATGGAAACAAATGATGAATAGGAAATAAAAGACAGTTCTCATGATAGATGGAGCTATTACTCTGAAGGTTTAATTTTACGAACAAATAAAGATGTTTGTAAAGTCATAAAAACTTTCCTTTGAAGCAGTCCTAAAAGGGATTCTGAGTTTGGGCTTTTAAAATTTTTAACGTGCCAATTTACACCAATAAATTATCAGTAAATTGAATGAACTTCCTGTTAGGCATTCAAGATATTTTCTCATGTTTATTTTTTTTTCCTTGATTAGCTGACCAAAAATTAATTTTTAGGAAAGGGATATGCAGTAATATGTATTAAAAGGTGGTAGCATATTTAAATTCCTGCTAGAGTTGATAACATTTATGAGAGAATTCTTCTCTGTCTTGCTACAAGAGTGTGACAATAGCTGCATGCCCATAATATGTAAAATAAATATTTCCCTGAAAATATACTTTTCTGGTCATCACTTACAGTTGTGCAAGTTGGGCACAGCAAAGTCTGGGATAAATGTCTTTTATATCACAATCTATGTGAGTATCACCTTCTAGAGATGTGTCACACGTTCCCCATGGAACTATTTGTAACTACAAAAAGTGATTGCTCTTGCAATCACGATGTTTCTTAATCTAAGGGTAACAAAATTACTATGGGACGGATGATGCTGTTAATGAAAATAGACTTGTTTTTATTTTTTATCATTTTGAAGGGCTAGAAACATGTTTTTCCCCTCAAATTTTATTAATTTGTCAGTCATTTACATAATGGTATAATTTTAGAAGTACAACTTTACAATTCCCCATCCTAAATATATGGTGATTGAATAACCCCCCCCCACACACACACCTACATAAATTTACACATATGCATATATGTATATATAAAATATTACAAAGGTACATGTTTGATATGGATTCTAAATTGTCCCATTTCCTTTTCATTTTGTTAATTCTTTCATCAGATATATAAGCCATAATTGGTTTTTATATCACTGAAGTGCCTCTATTAATAGTTGAATTTGGAAGTGGAATACTATCTGAGACATTTCTGTGAATTTGTGTGTGTGTGTAAAAAAATGGGGTGGGAAAATCAACATAATGATGTGACAAATATTATCCAGTAAATCATTGAACATATTGTGATCATTTCTTCACCTTAATTTAGTTATTGTCTCATTATCTCCTGTAATAATACAAAATAGCTTTTGACTATAGCTATAACTTAATTAATTAAAGAGTGTATTCAGGGGCCTCCCTTGGTGGTGCAGCAGTTGAGCACTGGACTGCGAAGCTGCACGCAGCCTCTGCAGCACCAGTTCAACTCCCTGGCCACTGGTGAGGGTCCCACATGGCGCACAGACTTCTCCTGCCGCACCCGTGGCTCCCCTCAGCAATGTATTTCGTCAGTCTGTCTGTTCTGTTCCCCACTCTGGCTCTGGTGAATTCTCTCACCCTCCAGCTCTTCTGACTGTACCCAGTGCTTGCATAAATAAATAAATCTTTATAAAAAAAAAAGGAGAGAGTGTCCAAAAAAAAAAAAAAAAGAGTGTATTCAGAATACTGAGATAAAATTTTAAACTTAAAAAATCATCTTACCCAATACAAAAATCAAGAACTCTCCTAAGAGCACCATTTAATAGGCAATCTTCTACAGAGATTATGCTCATAACCCTACAACCCAAGCAGATGAATCTGTCTCCTTACTCCCTGTCCACGAAGATAGTTGACACCATATTTATTATTCTTTATTGACCCTCAATATATTTTTCTCCAAACATTTTTGAATGTCAATATTTATTATTGATGAATTTAAAATGTGGTATGCAATTTTCTTTTTCACTCCACAAATCCTGACATCATAGCAATAAAGAACCAATAATGTCTCTAGGTTCAATGACGTCTACCTTATGTTGATGACTCTCAATGTATTTCAAGTGACCTCTGCTGAGACTTAGACTTTGTATCATCCAAGTGATTTTTAGAAATATCCACCTGAAAATTCCTTTGGTTAAGTGAAGTGAATAGGTCCAAAAGCAACTCATCATTGTCATTTCAAAAAAGTTTTTTTTTTTTTTATCAGTTGCTACCTGGATAGTAAAATTCATCACTATCCAACATGCCCTACCTGATTCCATATTTTTCATTAACACTTATTTCCTTTTACTGACCAAGTGTCAGTAAAAGCCTCTGTAATCTACCCAAAAGTTTTCATAAAAGCAACTTTAACACTCAAGCAATCATGTAATGTAAATGAAATTCACTTAATGTTCCCTCTCATGGCTCAGCATGTTCATTAGGAAGACTACAGTAATCTTCCTAGAGCTTTCCAAATGATTGACATGCTGATATTTTTTTTTTTATCATGCCTCGTGAGTCACTTCATTCTTTACCTTAAATATCAAAGAAAGGTCCAAAGAGAAGTGATATAATTTATAAGAGACACTTATGTCTTGGAAAATCTATTTGGATAAGAAAACTTATGATATTCAGTAGCATATCTCTCTTATTGAGGCAGTAACCATTACAGGAAAATTAGAATTCCTTTTCATGGGTACATTACCTTAGGTAATGGTTTTGCAGGTTTACAATGCAATCCTCCTACAAACTCAAAATTAGGTAAATATGGACGAGGAAATTCAAAATCCCAGTATGTTCGCATTAGCCAAATTTCTGCTTTCCCCATTGTCTCACACAACGTAGTAGGTCTTCCTGGAGAAAATGAAGAAAGTGTGGTGGAGATTATTAGCATATATGTTTACTGAGGGAAAAAATGTACCAGTAATTTTCCAATAAGCTATCAAGGAAAAAAAAAAGTAGACCCTATGAATTACTTATCACATCTAGATGTTTAAAAGAAGGGGAGGAGGCTCCCTGGTGGCACAAGGGGTTAAGCGCAGCGCCATGAAGCTGTCTGCAGCCTTGAAGCTGTCTGCAATCTCTGCAGTGCGAGTTCCATCACCCGGCCCACCAGGGAGCTACCCACATGGTGCAGCAGACCTCTCCTGACTTGCCTGCTGCTCCCCTCAACAATGTATTTTAGTCAGTCTGCTTGTTCTGTTCCCCGCTCTGTCTCTGGTGAATCCTCTCACCTCCTGCACCTATGGCCTGTACCCCAGTTCTTCTATACATAAATAAATAAATACATCTTTTAAAAAAATAAAATAAAAGAAGGGGGAATTAGAGAAGGAAGGAAGGAGAGAAGGAAGCAATGAAGGTAAGAGGAGGGAGTGAAGGAGAATGGGAAGGAAGATGAGAAGATAGGAAGCTGGGCAGATAGTAGGAAAAAAAGAGGATGTTTGGGTAGCGAAAGAACAGTTACATGTAACCGTACTTTCACAAGAGTAAATTCGATCAAAAATTTTATAACTTCATTGGCCTCCCTGGTGGCTCAGGGGGGTTAAGACACAACCTATGAAGCTACTCGCAGCCACTGCAGCACAGGTTCGCTCCCCAGCCAGGGAGCTACGCACATGGTAGAGCAGACGTCTCCTGACTCACACACTGCTCCCCTCAGCAGTGTATCAGTCAGTCTGCCTGTTCTGTTCCCCAATCTGTCTCTGGTGAATCCTCTCACCACCCCTCCCCACCCTCCACACCTCTGGCCTGTACCCCAGTTCTTGTATGCACAAATAAATAAATCTTTAAAAAAATGTATAACTCCAAGAAATGATGAATTTAATACTCATTGTTTCTTTCCAATAAAATGGTAAATTAAAGATTAGCCCCATAATATCAGCACAACATAACCTTTCATTGGTTTTCTAATTTCTAGTCTATTGTCCATTCCATTTTTTATTGTCTTTGCTTCATTTATAATGTTTAAGAATGCCACCAATATCAGTTAACTTATCTTCCTGAGTCAAATCCCATCATGTCAATTGGTTTGCCATTATTTTATCAGAGAAATTTACTGAGTAATTTAAATATAACTTCCTTTGGAAGGTGACATACAATAAGCATCACCAGTATCACACACAAATTTTAGTGCTATCTTTAAATGATATTTTTGTAAGGGACATATTGTAATTATTAGTTTTAGGAAATTTATGGAGAAGAAAAGTATTTATGCATGAGTAAGTCAACCATTTTTCACATAGAGAAAATGTTTTATATTTTAGTAAAAAAATTTCAAGTAATAATTCTTCTTCCCCAAGAATGTGGTGCACTTTTTTTACAAATGATGAACCTACATTGACACACCACAATCACCACTCAAAGTTCAGCTTACGTTAGCACTATCTCCTGGTGTTGCAAATTTTATGGGTTTAAACAAACGTACATGGACATGTATTTATCATGTATCATAACAGAATATTTTCACTGCACTATATAACCTCTGTGTTCTGCCAATTCATTCCTTCCCCTCATCTCACCTTTTCACAACCATTAGTTTTTTGTTGTTTCCATAGTTTGATATATTTATTTCATAATGAGATTTCTTATGTAACATGTTGCAATTCTAAAATTAAGGATCTAAGTGATAAAAGACATAATTCTATGAGTGTAGGAAGGCTTTGAAAATGTAACAAAGATCAAGATTCTGAGAGAGAATTGATCTTTGGTCTCAGGATCTTGATCTTTATTGTATTTTCAATCTTTGTTACACGGCTAGATGACTGTAAGGAAAGGGAAACCATGGGCATATACATCTTTTTCTCTTGGAGCAAAAAAGCTATAAACTGCATCCCAACATCATATTCACTGATCTCCTTTTTTAGAAATAAAAATGTTCACATCCAATCATTGACATGCTGTTTCTGGCTCTTTCTAACTACCACAGCAAAGTTGAGTAGTGGCAGCAGAGAATATATGACTCAGAAAAGCTTAAAATATTAACTATCTGACACTTTACAGGAAAAATTTCTTGACTTCTGGCTTAAACTTAAAAATTTAACTTACAAAAAGGCATAAAGTCTCTTACCTACACTGACATAAAAAAGCGTGATGTTACTTTACAATTATAATTTTCATATTTTAGTAATGACATTTCTGACATGATACCTAGTAAGAGGATATCGAGTCCTAGTAGTAAAATAAACTTAATCCTCTAAGTTCAGATGCTAATTGGGTTCCTCTTCTTATGTTCTTTTTTAATTCAATTTATTTACTTTATTGTTTTGATCTACTTATAGACTGTTATTTCCTTTCTTTCTAATTCCATTAGTTAAATCTTTCAATATGATGGTAATCTGAAGTTTCATTAAAAATATATGAGAGAGGTAAGAATGGCAGGTACTCTGGTTCCAAAGAAGAATCACGACTCTCAGAAATTATAGAGCAAAAAATCCAAATAAAGTATATGTTAAATTCAATCCTATTGTTAATATAGCTCAGATTTCAATTTATTATTTCAGTTTATTACTTAAGTCAGGGAAAGAGATTATTTTACTCTTACAACAAATATTATTCTTAATTTTAAACAAGAAGAGTTGAGGTTCTCCCTGGTGGCTCAAGGGGTTAAGCACCACACTATGAAGCAATCCACAGCCTCTGCAGCACGAGTTTAATCCCTGGCCAGCCAGGGAGCAACCCACATGGCACAGCAGACCTCTCATGTCTCCCCACTGCTCCCCTCAGCAGTGTACTTCAGCCAATCTGCCTGTTCTGTTCCCTGCTCTGTTTCAGGTGAAACCTCTCACCCCTGCTTCTCTGGCCTGTACCCCAGCTCTTGTATGCATAAATAAATAAATCTTAAAAAAAAAAAGAGGTGAAACCTCCACTGTGAAAATCCAGTATTATTTGTCATATCTTACGTCCAACCAAAAATACAACTTTCACAGACTTAACATAAGTGTGTTTTATATTTTGTTTTGTTTTACTATCAATCTATTAAATATCAACTTGCCTTCTAAATGGTTAGGTGACTGTAAGGAAAGAGAAACCATGAGAGTATACATCTAGCCTTCCCTTTCTAATTAATTATTGATTACAGTACATTGTTATCACTTGGAGAGTGTTACTTGGAAATCAAAATTTTAGAAATATTTCTCTTTCATGTTTTATTAAATCTCCTAAATTTCTTTTAATAATTAATTCATAATGAAAAGCAAGGTCTCTTACCTAATGCTTCACTGAAAAGCTGGTCCCAAGGTCGATTATTTTGGAACATGAAGATGTCAAACATAGTTGAAAGCACAATATTTTTTACCCTTTCCAGAAAGGTCATTCTGTCCAGTAGTCCCCCCATAGCAACAGGTACATAGGAAGGTGGAACTGGAAGTTTTCCACAGTGTTTCTCCATAACATCACCCATAGATTGTCTTAGTGTATACACAAAAGGGACAGCCAGCAACTCAGCTATCAACTCTCCGCAGGGGATTACAGGATCTATAAGCATCACATCATAGTTGGTTTCCTGGAGTTTCCTCATCATTGTCTGGTTGTAGACTATACTCTCGCACAGAACTGTAGTAGTTTCAGTTACTTTAAGGATGAATTGATGCAGCTTTAGTGCTGATTGCCAGCGTGATAATTGTGGCATGATTTGAGTAGATAGATCCAAAAATTCTTTCATCGTATTTAAACTTAGCTCTCTGTCAAGTGAAGAATGGATTACCTGGAAGTTCAGTGAGGATGGCTTGCTGTAGTCAATGTTGAAAGTGTGTGTAGGAACCAGCACAGTTACCTCATGACCTCTCTCTGTGAGTTCCTCCAGAATAGTCTTTATATTAAGCCAATGGCTCATGTCACAAGGCCACACCAGGACCTTCCCACAGAATCCATAGCCAATGCAGCAAAACTGCAGCAGCAGAATTGTCAAAATCCATTTCTCCTTCACCATGACAGCAGCTTCCTCACACACTGCTGTGCAGAGGTTAATTGCCTGACACTGAAGTGAAGTGGCAATATAAAGTTAAAAATTAATTTCTAGCATGATGAACTCACATGAAATTTCAAAGAACTTCATCAATGGTGATGACTTTGCAAAGTACTATCTGACAATTCTATGGGCAGAGATTTGAAATATTTAAATAGTTTCAAGTAAATGGTTGCAGTATTACAGGAGCTTTATTTTAAATATGTTAAAATAGACAAAAAAGCACATATTCTAAATGACTTCGTAAATAATGTGAGATTTCTAATGAGATACTAATTAAACCCATAAATACTTTCACCTCAAGGGAGGGGTAAAATATAGAATTATAAATTAGTGTCCTATCATCCATCCATATTTCAGTACAATTCCAATTTCTCTCCAATAATTTCATATTTCATACAATCAGCAAGCAGTTTTTAGCACCTAATATATGCCAGATTCTATATTATGCACAGGACATAATAATTCACATAGAGACAAGATACAGTTGTAATTCAAATGAGTTCACCAATTATTGGGGAAAATAGGTCATTTAAGTAATTTAAGGCAATGTAAAGGCAATGTAGAGGAGATGGATCTTCATTGGTAAGGATGAATTGAGGAGGGGCAAACTCCAGGAAAGAATTGCTTAAAAGCATATGATAAAATACTGTTTTAAGTAAGTCCTTAAGAGTGGCATTTAGCAGACTTTTAAGGAGCAGTATTTTTTTTTCCTTAAGAACTGGGGTACAGGCCAGATGTGTGGGAGGTGAGAAGATTCACAAGAGATAGAATGGGGAACAGAACAGGCAGACTGACCGAAATACACTGCTGAAGGGAGGAGTGGGCTAGCCAAGAGAGGTGTGCCGTGCCATGTGGGTTGCTCCCTGGCCAGCCGGGCTCAAACCCACAC